CCCCTCCTTTCCGGGTGCTACAACTCTCCCCCCCATAAAAAAATTTGGTCCCCAAATTTGCCTCATTACTCTTGATCAAACAGATGAGGATATTGGGCCCTAAATTCTGATTCCAGCTCCCAAGTCGCCTCCCTAGGCGTGTGGTTCTGCCACAAGACTTTTACAAATGATATTTTCCGGTTACGGAGTATTCTACTTTCTCAGTCCGTGATACTGACCGATACTTCTTCATAAGACAAGTCCTCTCGGAGTGAAAGCGGTTCATGAGCCACGACATGAGAAGGGTCCGGATTGTACTTGCGCAGCATAGATACATGAAACACATTGTGAACCCGGGAGAGCTCAGGGGGCAGTGCAAGTCTGTAGGCAGTGGTACCAATCTTGTCTAAGATTTCAAAGGGTCCAATGTATCTGGGGTTTAATTTTCCCCTTCTGCCGAACCTACTAATTCCCTTGAAGGGGGTGACTTTAAGAAACACCCGGTCACCTTTCTCAAAGGCCAGGTCTCTCCTCCGGGTATCAGCATAGCTCTTCTGCCTACTCTGAGCTGTCTGGATGTTCTTCTTGATCTTAACTATCTTGGACGTGGTTTCTTCCACCAAATCCGGGCCAAATAATCTTCTATCGCCCACTTCCTCCCAACAAATCGGTGACCTGCACGGACGCCCGTATAGCGCCTCGTATGGGTCATGCCGATGCTTGCTTGGTAACTGTTGTTGTAGGCAAACTCTATCGGGGGTAGATGGTCGTCCCAATGGCCTCCGGAGTCAAGGACACAAGCTCGGAGCATATCCTCCAGCGTACGGATTGTCCTCTCTGATTGTCCATCGGTTTGGGGGTGGAAGGCAGTACTAAGGGACAGCTTTGTTCCCATAGCTTGCTGGAAACTATTCTAAAACCGAGAAGCGAATCTGGGATCCCTGTCGGATACCACTGTTACTGGGACCCCATGCAGTCTGACTATTTCCCGGACATACATTCTTGCCAACTTATCCAAAGAATCAGTCATTCTGATGCCAGGAAGTGGGAAGACTTAGTGAGTCGGTCAACAATTACCCATATGGCATCGTGTCCCGATCGTGCCTTGGGTAGTCCCGATACGAAGTCCATGGTGATGTGTTCCCACTTCCATTCTGGAATCGGTAAAGGCTGAAGCAACCCCCCTGGGCGTTGATGTTCTGCTTTGACCTGCTGACATACCAAGCACTTAGATACAAAGTCGGCTATATCTCTCTTCATCCCATTCCACCAGAATCGGGGTCGCATAGTTTGGTACATTTTTGTACTTCCTGGATGCATGGCGAACCTTGAACTATGGGACTCTGTCATGATGTCTCTTTTTAATTCATTGTCGTCTGGGACACACATTCTGTCCTTGAAACGAATCAATCCGTCGGCAGAGATCTGAAATTCTGAGTTCACTCCCTGTTCTGCATCCTTCTTGCGGTTTACTAGGGCGGGGTCGATTGACTGGGCTTCCTTTATTCTTTGGATTAACTCGGGTTGGACTGCTAGGTGGCTCAAACATGTGGCCCTCTTCAGATCTTGCAGTCGAACCTGCTGCGTAGCCCCAATGGACCTGCATTCCGAACCATCAGATGGGCTAGGGTGCCTGCACTCTTCCTACTGAGGGCATCGGCTACTACGTTGCCCTTACCTGGATGGTATAGGATGTCACAATCATAGTCCTTGAGGAGTTCCATCCACCTTCTCTGACGCATGTTGAGATCCTTCTGCGTGAAGATGTGCTTCAAGCTCTTATGATCGGTGTAGATCTAAAAGGTCTCTCCATATAAATAATGGCGCCAGATTTTCAAGGCGTGTATGATTGCGGCAAGCTCCAAGTCATGGGTAGGATAGTTCTTCTCATGATTCTTTAGCTGTCTAGACCCATATGCTATAACCTTTCCATGCTGCATCAGGACACAACCCAGGCCCAGATAGGAGGCATCACTATAAACTGTATACCCTCCTGATCCACTCGGTAGAGCCAGCACGGGTGCAGTAGTCAGTCGCTTCTTCAATTCTGAAAAACTCCTTTCGCAGTTCTCATTCCAATCAAACTTTGCATTCTTCTTTGTGAGTCGGGTTAGAGGGGCCGCTAGACTGGAGAACCCTTCGACAAACCGGCGGTAATAACCCGCCATCCCTAGGAAACTGCGAATTTCCTTAACTGTTGTCAGCCTTTCCCAACCAAGTACCGCTTCAACCTTTTCGGGGTTCACCGACACCCCTTCCTTCGATATAACATGTCCTAGGAAGGCGGTTTGCTCGAGGCAAAATCCACACTTGCTCAACTTTGCATACAACTTCTTTTCCCTGAGTACCTGGAGGACTTGGGCAAGATGATGAGCATGTTCTTCTCTACTCTTTGAGTAGACTAAGATATCATCGATGAACACGATGACAAATTTATCCAAAACTCTCTGAAGATTCTGTTCATTAGATCCATAAAGATGGTCGGGGCGTTGGTTAGCCCAAACGGCATAACCAGGAACTCATAGTGTCCGTACCTAGTT